CTGCCCTTCAATTCTCCCACAACTGGCCACTCTAAGGAGTGTATCCACACAATGTAAATGTTCGCCCCGTATGTCTGTAGCTAGAAGCCACAGTAGTGAGTTGAGTTCCAGACCTGAAGGGTAACCAGAGGCCACAGTCTTGGAGTCTCACCAGGCTGCATCAGACCAGTAAACCTGGTCTTTTTTTTTTTATTCTGAGTTTTGTTCCACATTGTTCTCTCACTCTATCCAAGCTCTTAGACCAATATTTCTTATGCATATAGATGCAAAAATCTCAAAAAAAAAAAAAAAGAACCCACTAATTTCAGCAACATATCAAAAAGATCATATGCCAGAACAGGTGTTATTTATACCAGAAATGCAAGGTTAATTTAGCATCTGAAAATTAATGTAACGCACCATTTTTAAAAAAATAAAGGACAAAAATCACATGATCACCTCAGTAGATATAGAAAATGTATTTGAAGAAAAAATACCACCTTTTCACGACCAAAAAAAAAAAAATTCAATAAACTAAGAATAGAAGGGAACTTCCTCAGCCTGAAAAAGGGCATCTATGAAAAGACCACAGCTAACATAATATTTAAAAGGGCTCACTTCTGACTAGGACTTTTGTCTCCCTTCCTGATTCCTGCTTACATAAACGATTTTCCTCTTACAAAAGGCAAGTGAATAGTAATTTTACTTAAAGCAAATAAGGATAAGCTAACTAATGTGATGGGGTGGGGAGAGAGGAACAGGAGACAGGACTCAAATGCTGTTTCTAAGGAAAGGAACCTCATGCTCCTAGTACACTCCAAACAGTATCTGGACTGAGATACTGCCCTATGGACTTTGGTTCTTTCCTCTTTTGGAGCACTGACTAAAATCGTGTCTAATAGTCATCTGCATAAGTATCAAATTCTCCCCTTAAACTACAAGCTCTGTAATAGGGAATCACTGTCATATTTAACACCTAGCAAAACAGGAGGAAAGCATAATTAAAGCACTGTCAAACTGAATAGAACACACTCCAGTTCAACCAAAATTTGAGTGTCTATGTACTAAGCATTGTGCCAGAGTCTTGTGGGTAGGGATTTGGGGGTAGGGAAGAGAGAAGAGGAAGAGTTGGACAAAGAAAATGGGAACAACACAGTCTCTGTTCTCCAGGAGCTTACAGTTTAGTGAGTTCAAAATAATAAAGGAAAGGCTGAGAGAGAATATATTCAAGAAAATGAAGTGAACAAGGAGAAGAGGTCTCAGCCCAGTCAGGAGACTCTGGGATCTCCTAAAGGAGGTGAGACCTCTGCTAAGCCTTGAGGGATAGCTATGAGCCATTCAGCAAAGTGAAGACAAGGGCATTCCCAACACAGAAAGTAGCATGAGCCGAGACAGCTGGGAAATTCACGAGTTTGGCAATGCTAGAGTATAAGGTTCAAAGCTGAAGCAGTGAGAAAGAATTAGAAGATCAGTTAGCGGCCACGTAACAGAGCATGCTATGGAACATGGACTTCATACACAGGCAACAAGAAGCCCTGTGATGGTTTAAGCAAGGGAGTTAAGTGGCCAGATTTTTATTTCAGAGTCAAGCCAGTAGCAGTATGAATTCTGGGCAAAAAAAATAAAAAATATTTTTATTAAAAAAAAAAATTCTGTCAGTTTGTCATACTGTGATGGCTTGCCTGTTGCTATGATGCTGGAAATTATGCTAGTAGTATATGCCACTGGTATTTCAAATACCAGTAGGGTCACCCAAAGTGGACAGGTTTCAGTGAAACCTCCAGACTAATACTAGGGAGAAACAGAAATACTAATACTAACACTAGGAGGAAAGCCCTGGAAATCTAATTCCAAATATTAGCCAATGAAATCTTATGGGTCACAACAAAACATTGTCCAGCTCACTTGCTCTGGACATATCATCAAGAGGGATCAATCACTGAAGAAGGACATGATGTTTGATGCAGAGGACCAGTGAGATTGGCACAAGAGTAACAACAATGGACTGGAACATGCTGGTGATCATAAGGATGACACAGGATCAGGCAATATATATTTCATTCTGTTGTACATAAGGTCCCCAGGAGTTGGAGACAACTCAACAGCAATTATTTATGTATATGTCTATTTATCCATAATAATCCTGATGAATGCTAAAAGGAACTGAGACCAGCAGAACTGAATACAGACAAGGAGGAGGAAAGATGCAAATACTATTTGACAAGGGGAAAAAAAATCAGTAAGTCCTATTAACAGTTTGGATATATGCCATAAAGAGGTTTTAGACAGTGCTGTCTGATAACCTCTGCACACATGGAAGTGTTGTATGTCTGCTGTCCAAAGTAGTAGCCATTGGCCACACATGGCTCTTGAGCACTGACATATGGTTAGTGTGACTGAAAAACTAAATTTTTAATTTCATTTAATTTTAATTAATTTAATTTAAAATGGCACATGTGGCTAGGGTCTCAATTGGACAGCACATTGTGGAATCTCTCTGTGGTGTAGTAAATTACATAGTGTGGCTTTTCTGGCCATAAGTCTTTGTAAACTCTGTGGTAGAATTTGCTGTGAGCAACTGAGTAGCTCCTGGTTGTTAAAGTTATCCACCTTGGGTATTTCTGTTGGGGGCAGCACAAAGTAATTTTCTGGGAAGTTCACTCTCTCTCAGGTGTATAGAATTCTGTTGGGATTGGTTGGTTTGGGCCACTCTGCCAGGCTCAAAAGGAGCACTCCTAAAGGCAGAAGGAGTCTCTCTGACTGCTGGCTGAGAAAGACGTGCTGCTGAGAGAAACGTGCTCCTGAGAGACACGCATTACTATGAGAGCAATGTGCTAGTGAGACAGCTGGCTGCAAGAGACCGAGTGCATTTCTGAACTTGAATTGTAGTCTGGTGCTTCCCTAATAAGTCCCATAATCTGTGAGTTGTGTGTGGCCACTGCAGCAAATTATCAAACCCAGTAAAGAGGTGGTGGGTGTTGTGGAGGAACGGTTGGTGTCAGGGCTGGAGGGAGGCAGCATGTCTGGCCTCACAGGGATAGGCCTTGGACTAGTGATGGTGATTCTGTCTTCCTCTTGTGGGGTTAGAGGAGGTCAGAAGATGCAGCCTCCCTGCCTCTTTGGCATTCTCAAATTCTACCTTGAGTAATGATGCCATTAGCTTAGATAGGGAATGTGAGAAAAAGAGTAAGTCTGGGAGAAGACAAGGTAAATTTACCTTTAAAGATGTTGACTTTGAGGTGCCTTTGCAGCACCCAGGTCCCTCTGTCAAACAGGCAACTGGACTCAGAAGTCAGAAGACTAACCAAGTATATATATGGCAGTTAAAACTAGGAAAAAATAAAGGATAATATAGGCAAAATACATAAGAAAAAGAGGCAATTGGCCAAGGAAAGGACCACAAGGAATGGCCAATATTTAAAGGAAAGTCTAAAGAGAAGATCACAAAGGAGATGGAGCAGGCTTAATCAGAGATGTAGAAAATGAGAATACTATTTCACAAAAGATAAGGAGAGCAAGAGTTTCAGGAAACCAGAGTGTTAGCTGTGGCAGAGGAATCACCGAGGAGTGAGAAGCGTCCACTTGTCTGGGCAAGACCTGTGGAGGTCACTGGTGAGCTCAGAGGGAGTAGTTCAATGTGATGAGTGGAGAATAAAGCCAAATGACAGTGCGTCAAGCAGTGAATAAAGGGTGTAGATAGTGAGAAGAGAATACCTTTTCAAGAAGCTTTGCTGCCAATAAATAAATTAAAACAAATTACATGGTAACTACAAGGAGTGCAGGATCAAAAAAGGCTCTTTGTTTCATCTTTGGAGACTTCCTAATATAGAAAAACCTTGTGCGTATTTGTTGCCTGAGACGAAGGAGCTGGTACAAAGGAGCAGAGGGAAGATTATGGAAGCAGAAAAGTGAAAACAGATGGAGGATGCTAGATGGGATTTGATCAAGAACCTGCTGTAGGGTTAAGTGTGTTGGGGAGGCACAGAGAGCTGGTCTGCTAATTGGTTAGATAGAAATAAGGTAATCAAAAAAGCATCAGTCCATGAAGAGGATATGAGCATTCTGTGTATCAAAGGTTGTGCTCCCTGGAAGATGCTCAAGCTGCTGGGCAGTGTCTTAATTATCTAGTGCTGCTGTACTAGAAGAACCACAAAATGATGGCTTCAACAAACATACTTATTTTCTCACAGTTTAGGGGACTTGAAGTGCAAATTCAGGGCACCAGCTAGAGCTTGAAGAAGGGAAAGCTTTTTCTGTCAGCTCTGGAGGAAGGTCCTTATCTCTTCAGCTTCTGCTTCCTGGTTCACCAGAAATCTCCACACGTCTTGGCATCTATCTTTTAAATCTCAAAGAGACTGAGACTCAAGATACACTCTACACTGATCCTGCCTCATTAAACCTAACAAAGACAACCCCATTCCCAAATGAGATTATAACCAAAGGCATATTTTTGGAGACAGAATTCACTCCATAGTCAGGTAGATGTGGAGTCATTCTAGATGCCCTGTGCTCCTCTAAAGACAAATATTTTCCCGAATCCACCATATTCAAACCAAACCCAACCCACTGTCATCAAGCCAATTCCCACTCACAGCATCCCCGTTGGCTTTACAGAAGTAGATTGTCCCATCTTCCTTCTGTAGAGTGGCTGGTGGGTTTGAACCACTGACCTTCTGGTTAGCAGCCTAGTGGCTTATCCACTATACTACCAGAGCTTCTTAAAACAGAAATTAAAGTAAACCTGGATTAGCTTTTTATGTGACAGGAAATCAAGACCTGAATTATAAATCAGGCTTTTCTACTAAGAAGAGGAAGGGTTGATATAGGGAAAGATACATGTAATGGGTTTTGTTTTATTTCTTATGGCTAGTCACACTCTAACATGAATTTTTCTCAAACAACCTACTTTGTTGGCATTGGTTCTTAGGCTAACTTGCTTACATCTACACCCTCTGCTGACCAAATCATGCACTGCTTGAACTTTAACATAAATATAAAACATGTGTCTAGAGAAACCTTACCTTGATATGGTAGAACATTCAATGTGCCAGCCAGGTCTTCCATTTCCCCAAGGTGATGTCCAAAAAATCTCCTGAGGTTTAGCTGCCTTCCATAGGGCAAAATCACTTGCATGTCGCTTGTCAGAATCAACTGTCAAAATAAATGGTTAATCAAACCTGCTGCCATTGAGTCTATTACAACTCACAGTGATCCTGTAGGATACAGTAGACTGACACATAGAGTTTCAAACAAACAAAAAAAGAAATCAAACTCATAGTCAATGAGTCGATTCCGACTCATAACGACCCCTCCTTGGGTTTCCAAGGTAGTATCTCTCCAGAAGCAGATTGCCCAATCTTCCTTCTGAGGAGTGGCTGGTGGGTTTGAACTGCCAGCCTTCTTGTTAGGAGTCAAATGCCTTAGGCACTAGAGCACCCCTACAGAGTTTACAAAGCTGTAAATCTTTACAGAAGCAGAATGCCACATCTTTATCATATCTTTTCATATATTATGTAGATGTAGAACTATGACTAAATAAGGAACAGAAGGAGGTAATATGCATGCAGTGGTTATATGTTATGACATTATAAATACAGTTTACCTATTGTTTTTTAAAAATGGGGAAAGCATATGCAAAAAAACAATAACTCCTTTTAAAAATGTTTTCAACAGTCATATTGGTGGCAGTATCTGCTATTTTGAGGCTGCTGCACCATAAAGCTAATGAATGATTACTGAATAATCTAGCACCCTTGTTATCTTTAAAACTGAAGATTTTCCACATAGGGGAGAAGGAGATATAAATGTATGACACACAAGATAAATAAACACTCGTAGTGTTGAATTTGATTATTAGTATGGCCTTATGTGGTATTTTACTTTCTTTTTAGATATACTTATTACCTCTATCCACTGAAATGGCCTAGAAACAATGACTGATGTAGCAGTAAGTATCCTTGAGCCCATACTGTGGTATAAAAACATCTTTTCCCATTGAAAGAAAATAGGGTTTCCAGGAGAAATGTCTTCTTCCAGATCTGGGGCAGAAAATATACAAAACAATCCAGAAACATCTTGCCATACTAAAAAGATAGCAATAAACTACTGCTAGGGTTGCATTTAAAGGACTTATAAGCCTACTTGAAGTAAGAAGAGACAACTGGAGGATCAATAAGGATAATAATAGCAATAGGCTGAAATATATCAAATATGTTTAAGACTATGAGTCCTTAGTGATTAAAAAATAAAAATCGAATTGGATACCGTCAAAGAAATTAACTCTGCACTTTGAAATTTAGTAAATAATAGAAAAGACTTGAGCATTTATCCTCCCTTTTCCTATGCAAATCATACCACTGGGTAACCAAACAGCATTCTGTCTATATATTGTTATTGTTAGTTAAGGAGCCCGGATGGTGCAGTGGTTAATGAACTTGGCTGCCGACTGAAAGGTTGGTGGTTTGAACCCACCAACTGCTCCATGGGAAAAAGATGTGGTAGTCTGCTTTGGTAAAGATTTACAGCCTTGGAGGCTCTATGGGGCAGTTCTCTGTCCTGTAGGGTCACTGAGTTGGAATGAACTTGACAACAGTGGGTTTGGTTCAGTTTTGTTTGGGTTATTGTTAGTTGTCGCTGAGTCGAGTCAATTCTGACTCATGATGATCCCATGCATACAGAGTAGAACTGCTCCATAGAATTTTCAAGGCTGTGATCTTTTGGAAGGAGATCACTCAGCCTGTATTCTAAGGCATCTCTGGGTGGGTTCAAACAGCCAACCTTTCAGTTAATTGTCAGTCAAGCATTTAACTGTTTGTACCACTCAAGGACTCCCAATCTGCCTATATCAAAGCTCCAGCAAATGAACAAAAAAGAAATGATAGAATCAGAATACTCCCATTTTGCAACCTCCTTTTTGCAACTAAGAATGTAAACACAGACCAACAATTGCTGCTAACACAAAAAGAGAAATAATCAGGCTCCATACCATCTTTTCATAAATATCCCATCATCTATAAAGTAGTCTTCTCCAGAAATCTAGAATCTGATTAAGCCTTTAGGTTAAACTACGAACTTGAAAAAATATACACAAGGCAGAGGAAAATATTACATAAAACTATCAGAACACAATCAGCAAAATCCTAATTGAGAAAACTAAAGATAAATGATGTTTCTTTCATCAAATAAATTAAAAGGAGAAAAAGTACAGGAGAGGAAACTATAAATTAATAAACATCCTAAATAACATAAAAATATAAAACAGGTAAAACTAAACTATTGTGTTTAGAGATAAATGCTTGAGGTAAAACCACCAAGACCAGTAAAAAGGTGACTACCATTAAAAGAATAGTGGTTACTTGAGGAAGGGGGATCTAGAAGGTTGTGTTGAGCAGTGGGATGTGGAAGCGGAAGGCCTGGTGTGCCTATAAAGTTTGATCTCCTTTCAGGGTGTTAATCACAAGGGTCTCAACTTTATAATTCATTGAGATATGTATTTGTTTTCTATTCTATTATTATAAGAATAAAAAAGTTAAAAATTTTGCTTCTCAGCCAGCTACCCAGAGGGACCGAGTAGTTGATCCTGCGGGCTTGGGACCATAGTCGCAGGGGACATCAAGCTCAATTGGCATAACATACTATACAAAACATTGTTTCACCTACTACTTTGGCGAGTAGCGACTGGGACCTTAAAAGCTAGGAAGCTGCCATCTAGATGCAACAACAGGTCTCTCCTCGTCAAGAAGAAAGAAGAAAACCAAAATTAATGGAAACAATCAGTCCTAGCGACTGGTACACCATCCGATCTGCAACCTATACAACTATGAGACCAGAAGAACTAGATGGTGCCCAGCTACCACTGCCATCCACTTGGAAGGGATGTAGGAGATCCTACATAAAGAGGGACAACAATGTGGTACAAAACTCAAAATCGTTTGGAGGCAAAAAAAAAAAAAAGAAGGTGGGGACCAGGTTTGCTGGTCCAATGGAGCCTGGTGTAACCACTGAGACTATGGCCCCTAGTTGCCCTTCAGGTCTGGAATTGAACCCACAACTGTGGTTTCCAGCCAAACAAAGTACAGGCATGTGAGTTAAACATTTACCTCAAGTAGACACACGCCCTGGAGAGAACAATCATGGGAGAAGGAAGGGCTGCTTATGCACAGGGAGATAGCTCAGGGTGCAGAAGAGTATGAAGGGATGGACACTGGGAGGAGGTAACTATGGGGAGGAAGTGGGAGGGGAGCTGCTGCATTGTAAATTTTGGTCAATAACATGAGACAAAGTATATGTGAACTGCTGTATGAAAAGTGAATTTACTCTGTAAATCTTCACCCAAATCCTAAAAAAAAAAAAAAAAAAAAAAATTTGCTTCTGAAATGGTATATACCAAAGTATTAAAATTTTTTCACTGTGTATGAATGGCTTTATTATCTCTGTTTTATATAACTGTATTTCTCAATCTTTTACTATTATTTTTATATTAATTACAAAGAATGGGAATTTCAGGAAATTTAATTGTACTCTTATACAACCTGTACATAGATCAAGAGACAGTCATTCAAATAGATCAAGGGGATACTGTACGGTTCAAAATTGGAAAGGGTATGTGGCAATGTTGTATCCTTTCACCTTACTTATTCAACCTGTATACTAAACAAATAACCCAAGAAGCCAGACTACATGAAGAACATGGCCTCAGGATTAGAGAAAGATTCATTAAGAACTGCAGTACGGAAATGATACAACCTTGCTTGCCTGAAGACAAGGACGATTTGCAGCTCTTACTGGTTCAGGTCAAAGACTTCAGCATGGATTACATCTCAACATAAAGAAAACAAAAATCCTCACAACTGGATAGATGAACATCATGATAAATGGAGAGAAAACTGAGATGTGGGGGAAAAAACTGAAGTTGTCAAAGATTTCATTCTACTTGGATCAACAATCACATCCATAGAAGCAATAGTCAAGAAATCAAAGACACTGCATTGGGAAAATGTGCTACAAAAGACTCTTTTACAGTGTTGAAAAGCAAAGATGATGCAACAATGGGTCTTTCCTCATTCAGAGCAAAAGAGAATGAAGAAACCCAAAGACACACGGAAATAATTAGTCCAAGGGACTGGTCCACCATGTGATCCTCAGCCTATATGACTATGAGATCAAAAGAACTAGATGATGCCCAGCTACCACCATCAACCACTTGGAGGGGGATCTTTGTAGGAGATCCTGGATAGAATGGGAGAACAATGTGGAACAAAACTCAAAATCATGAAAAAAATAGGGACCAGGTTTGCTGGTCTAATAGAGCCTGGTGGAACCCCTGAGACTATGGCCCCCAGCTGCCCTTCAGGTCTGGAATTAAACCCTGTGTTGTGGCTTCCAGCCAAACAAAAGACAGGCCTAGGAGCTGAATATTTATATTAGTAGATACACTCCTTGGAGAGATCAGTCATGGGAGAATAGAAGGGCTGTCTATGCACAGGGAGACAGCTCGGGGGCAGGAGTGCATGCGAGGGAAGGACACAGGGAAGAGGTAACTATGGAGAGGAATGGGAGGGGAGCTGTTGCATTATGAGAAATTGCAGTCAATGTCATGAGACAAAGTGTATGGGAACTGCTGTATGGAAAATGAATTTTTTTGTGTAAACTTTCACCCAACTCACAATTAAAAAAAAAAGCAAAGATGTCACTTTGATGACTAAGGTACACTTGACTTAAGCCATGACGGTCATTTCAAACACCTCATATGAATGCAAAAGTTGGACATGGAAAAAAGGAAGACAGAATCAATGCATTCAAACTGTGATGTTAGTGAAGAATAAAAATATACTGTGGACTGCCAGAAGAATGAACAAATCAGTCTTAGAAGAAATTCAACCAGAACGTTTCTTAGAAGTGAGGGTGATAAGACTTACATCTCTTGCATTAGACACGTCATCAGAAAAGACAAATAGCTAGAAAAGGACATCACGGCTGGTAAAGTAGAGGGTCAATGAGAATGAGGGAACCTCCTCAAGGAGATGAACTGGCATAATACTTGTAACAACGAACTTACACATAGCAAATATCATGATGATAGCACAGGACTAGGCTACATTTCACTGTTTTGCAAAAGGTCTCCGTGAATCGGAGCAGAATCAAGGGCAACTAACATTTATATACTGCTTTGGTATAAGAAAACAATTTTAGTTTTGAAAAGTTTTGCTGAGGCTGCAATGTATAAGTACTAGAAACCTACTAGAAACTTCCACAAAGCACTTGGTACCACACTGCATGCACATGGATGATCTAGAAATTTTCTCTTTTGGCCCCTGTGATAAGGTAAGTAGTATACTACTGATTGGGTAAAAGCAACAAACAAATTTTTGAGACGTCAAAAGCTGTTTCTAAAGACAGGTATATAACCTGGATAGTGTGTCTTATACGGTTTCTGCTGTTGTTCTTGTTTGGTTTTCTTAAATAGTAGTCTTTTAAAATTACTTTTATGTCTATATATTTATTATCTCCCTAACAAATCATGAGAACAAAATACAGAACAAAAGCCAAATGCATATGGGAAATTCATATCTGATAAGAACAAGATGTAGGAAAGTGTTAAAATACGCCACTGTGTGTATACATGTATCTCAGGAAGGAAATGAGAAATCGATGAAAAGCACTATTTTCAGAAAGAAGAGCTAGGGGACCGATGGCAGGAGTGAGATGGAGATATTTCACTTGTGGTGTGACTGTTATATTCTATATGTTCTATCTATTAAAAAAATGAATTAAATTTAAAACATTACTATGCTCAACTGTACGATTAATGTAGCCATGCCCTGAGTAAGTGTAGGTAGACAGGTACTAAGCATGTGGGAAGGCGGGAAAAGCCAAGTTTATGGTTCAGCTTCCCAAGAACCTACGATGTGAGGCAGAGGTTACAGGGGCCCAAAGGGCTTATACACAGGCAACCCACCTGGCTCTCCAACTGGATCCGGGGCTGTACCGACTAATTTACCATACTTGCCTCCTCTAGACTTCAGATCGAAGTAGACATTGCCTATTTTATAAAGGTAATTATGAAATTCATCATTTCTTAATCTTAAACATTAGCATTTATATAAGCTTAATATTTAACAAGTTATTAGAATTTAAAGACAGACTGTGGTATTTGGCTTTAGTTTGGTCCCTTTTACCAACCTTTTAGGCCAGAATTAAAACAGTCCTTTATCATAAAAGCATACATTTGTATACAGCATGAACATATGGAAATGAATGTGAAAGCACAAGTATAAATTCTCTATCAAATGTCTAGACACTTCTTAACAGGAATAAAGAAAAGTGAGTGCTAAAATTAATCTTGGTTCAGTTCTTGGGCTTTATATTACATACTTATTAATAAAAGAAATGATTTCTTTATCCTAATCTTGTAAGACCATCCTTTTATTTAGATTAAAAAGAGCATCTCTACACTTGCAGTATCCATGTGTCTGTTCTTTTAGTGAGATATAGATGGTCCTTTTTCTTTCTTTAAGATTGAGAGTAAAAGATAATCTTAGTCACAGAGATCCTTACAGAACCAGTTTTATAACCCTTTGCTACCTCTGACTACTAATCAGAAGACTGGCAGTTCAAACCCACCAGCCACTCCTCAGGAGGAAGACTGGGCAATTTACTTCCATAGTGATATCACCTTGGAAACCCAAGGAAGGGTTGCTGTGAGCTGGAATCGACTCAATGGCAGTAAGTTTGGTTTTTGGTTTGCTATCTCTGACTAGAGAAGCAGAGCTGAGAAGTGAGATGTTCAGAGCTGAGAATACAGCACTAGCCCGTGTTTCACTATAGCTTTACAGGCTGCTGTGGATTCTAGGCTCGTGCTTCTCCCAAGGAAGAAAGTGGTACTCATTAAGGCTATGAATTTGGTCATGGTAAACATCACAGGGCGCATTCCCAAAGCAACATACCCATAAACCATATTTAACTTTACATAGTCATCATTAGGACCCAAAGATGATTTTTTAATGTTTGTAATTTCAAGATTTTTAACCTTCACGTGTCTTTTATTAATGCTGTTACTCATTCTGATCTGTACTATCCTGACTGGGAACACTGGCTCAGAAAAGTTATTTAAAGATCCAAGAAACTTTGTTATTGGCAAGTAATAAATAAGAACAGCACTATAACCAATAACCAGTACAAGCAGTCTTGTGCACTGGGTGTACAACCCAACACAGGAAAACTATGACAGATTCCTCAGCCACAGTAAACCATTCATTCTCAAGATGGAAAAGACCCCACCTGATTTCATATACCCATCTCAGTGTGCTTCCCTTTCATTCAATTTATTACTAAGCTCTGACTATGTGCAGGGGAGAAAGCAATGAAAAATAGAAGAGATATTTAAGAATTTAGGGAACTGCTTTATATTAGATCAGATAAGTAATGATATCATATATAAATGGTACTTTGAAAAAGCTTGAAAGAATAGAGAAACAGCTCTCTAAGACAGAAGAAACATCTTCCCTTACCTTTGTTTGTCTTATCAATTTGTTAAACTGTTTCTTCACAAACAGTTCACAGATCAAATTACAAGCAAGTATTTGTGGAACTATCACAAAATCCAAAATAATGGAGTTTATGTAAAGTTTTTAAAACTAATTATGTTACCATTATTAAAAATTTACAATATAGCATGATAAATAGCATTTAGTCCCAATATATGCTAAAATGAGAATCTCTAAACATTTTATGAGCATTAATTAGTTTACTTTAAAAGATGAAAGCACATGTCTTATTTCAAGTTACACAAAAGGAGGAAAACAATTCCTTTGTTTTCTGAAGGAAACTCCAGTTTAGTCACTTAAGTAAGCCCTTTAAAAAAAAAGTTTTTCTTGGAAATAAAATCTAAACATAGCAAATCAGATAAAATAAGAAAACAACAAGTACTTTCATATGCATAGACTATTGAGTAAATTCAGTACACGTTTATGAGAGTCAGGAGGGTTCCTAACATTTATCTTACGTTCTCAAGCACAACCCATGAAGGAAAGATGTTTGCAGTCCAGTAATCCCTATAAACAGCGTCTATTACAATCCTTTATACATTGTTACTTGCTTGTAGTAAGCAATACTTGCATACATTCAGCCCTGGACTACATACAAAAATGGATTATTCAATAAAAGCGAAAGATTTTTATGCCCTAAGAAGTTACAATCTACATAGGGGATAAAATACAAATATATTAAACAGCAAACTAAGGCAATATATAATTGGCTGCCAAATGGTAAGCAGTGACATAAAAAGCTCAAAGAGAAAGTTCCCATTCAGGTATGGTTGATAACCGAACATTTCATGGCCTGGGTTTGAGGGATGGGTAGGATTTGGATTTAAGAAGAATGGCCAGAAAGAAGGTATGGCTGAAAACAATGATGATCATACAAGTAGCAAAACACCAGAATACCAATCTTACCTCTAAGACTATCAGACAAAGAGAAGCACCCCTTAAATAAATTACACTCCACCAATGGGAATAATCACACAAATACAGAACATGGGCTATTCTTCAAGACCACTGAGCTTGTTATCAGTGTCTTCAAAAAGTCCATAACAAGGGGGAAAAAGGTGGGAAGAGCGTTTTAGATTAAAAGAAACAAAAGAGGCATAGCAACCAAATGCAATGCAAGATCTAGAATAGATTCTGACTTGGCAGAATGGGGGAAAGCCATAAAAGAAATCTGGGGTCAATTTGGTAAATTTTAATATGGATAAAATGTTAGGTAATCAAAAAAAAAAAAAAAAGAACTGCACTGCCATAGAGTCAATTCCGACTCATAGCAACTCTTTTTAAGACAGAGTAGAACTGCCCCATAGGGTTTCCAAGGCCATAAATCTTTATAGAAGCAGACTGCCTCATCTTTCTCCTTTGTATCAGCTGGTGGATTCAAACTGCTGACCTTTTGCTTAGCAGCCAAATGCTTTAACCACTACACCATGAGAGTTCCTTAGTGGATGATATTAGGAAATTACTGTTAATTGTCTAATAATGACTTTGTGGTTATGTAGTGAACACCCTTATTATTCAGAGATTCATGCTGATGTATCAAGGAGCAGAAGTATTATGATGTCTACATCTTACTTTCAAATAGTCCATTGAAAAATTACATACCCACACACAAAGATGAAGGTCTCAAGCGCTAATTTTGAACAAAAAGGGAATGGGTCTTTGAAAGTACTGATTTTGTTCCCAACTTTTTGTTATAAAATTTTTAAACAAATAAAGTTGAAAGAATGCAATGAACAGTTGTATACCTACCACCTAGACTCAACAACTGTTAACATTGTGCCATATTTACTTTATCTGGACTAGCTCTCCAGATGGGAGCTCTGGTAGCGTAGTGCCTAAGGCACTTGACTACTAACCAGAAGGCTAGCAGTTCAAACCCACCAGCCACTCCTCAGAAGGAAGGTTGGGCAATCTACTTCTGTAGTGATACTGCCTTGGCAACCCAAGGAGGGGTCGCTATGAGTTGGGTCCAACTCGACGGCACATAACAACAACAACAAGCTCTCCAGACATTCATCTTTTCCTGGACAAGGGAAAATATTTTTAAAAATAATTGATCCAAAAGTTTTGCAAAGAGACACAATAACTGTAGAAGAGCCTATAACATTTTCAATATAAGAATCCTATAAAAAGAGACAGTAAAACATTTGGCATGTGTTACAACAATTAATAAATATGTCTAGCTTCTCAAAATCCTATCAGTATTACCAATGATCAGTTTTGATAACATAATCCCTACCTTTCAGCGTTGAATAAGCATGCCCATTAGCAATTATTCCTTCAATGAAAGAAATTATCTGAGGAATATTTTCAGTTACCCTCAAGTACACTGTGGGTGGGAGAACCTGAAATAAAGGAAAAATGACTGTGTTTCAACTAAAAAGCAAACGTCCACCACAACTAGTTTTCATTGTTCAAGCTTTTTATCCCTGTGACAGGAAAATTAACAACCGACTTTACCTTCAAGGATGCCATATCTTGTTTAAAATCTTCCTCATAAAAATTAGCAAGAGAAGTGGGTGATATATTCATCTGCAAAAGAATTAGATAAACATATTAAGAAATTTGGGATATTTACAACAGAACCATACAGAAGTATTAGCGCTATTTGCATGATACCTAAAGCAAGCTCATTTCTTCCATCGAGGAAGACTGGCTATGTGGCCCCATTGTGGCTTAGCCTCAGTTTGGCACTGTCACTTACAAGGGAAGCATTTAATTTTAGTTATTAAATGTATACTAATAGCTTAAATAGTCAAAACCATTTATTGACTCTGTTTTCTGGTTAGAGAGGAAAAGGAGTAATGTCGTGATTTACACAATGTAATAGTAAAAAAACCACATCAAAACAAAAAAACACTCAGCTTCTCCTAAGTCAAGGGCAAAATAAATTTATTCTGCATAATCACAAGAAACCTGACCTCCTTTGTACCTATTAACCTTCAGGAAGCAAAAGAAAACAAGTCAAAAATATAGTAAAGAGGATGTGTCTAACGAAATATCTGGAAAGAAATATAGCACATTAAAAGAGTTTTTAAATGGAGTGTCAAGTTGCTCAGGTACTATGAATGGACTTCTGGAGGGCAGGTAAAAGCACAAAACAGTAAGTTTAATTCTGAATGCATGTGCTATTTCTTGGGGCATGTATCCGTAGCCTCTGCAGATTCTCAAAGGAATCTGTGACATATAACTAGGGTTATTCATTATTATTATTACTTCACAATGGAAAAACACCCTATAAAAAAAGCAGGAAACACTATAAAGTTCTGACACTTAACCAGGGTTCATAATTGTTGACTTTATACACATAATCCATGAGCCATTTAAATTCTTTTAATGTTAATAATAAGCATCTAGAATGTGCTAGACCCTCATCTTGCCTAATCCTCATACAGCCCTGTGAAATAGATAGTCCTATTTTAGGAGTAAAGAGATTTCAGCTTCAAATATTAAATCACTCTCTCAACCTAAACACCAATATGGAGCCAGGACATCAACAGAGTCACTCAGAAGTCCATATCCTTCCTACCTCAGGGCTCTAAAATTGCACAATCGTCACTTTAACAATCAACAAGCTTCCTAAAACTCATGACCAATGAATATTTACTGAAGAAATAAATCATGTAAAATAAGTATTGCTATCATAATGTGTTGTTTTAGCAGTGTGGTCTTGGGCAAGTCAATAAACGTCTCAGCCTTAGGTTTTCTGTATAACATGGATAAAATAACATCTAATAATCCCTAAGATTGCTATGAAGATTCAATTAGTATATGGATAAGACAAGTGTGCAAATGGAAAATACTACATTAATATCACTATGAAAGAGATAATATACACAGGACCTAGCACATTGCTGGTATATACTGTGATAGGGGGAAAAAGACCCCAGATTCAAACATATTCTATACAGATCCTTTTATTAAGCTTTAAGCAAGACAAAGATAAACCAGTCATCCTGGATGAGGGAAACCTTCAGCATATACACAGTACAGAGGCTGATGGAATCCACTGAGTCACAGCCTATATATGAGGACAAAGGAAATCATCATAAGATCATGATTGGTGTCAGGGTAATCCATCACTGTCACAAGTGGGACCACAGAAGTGGGGAAAGTACCATGACTGGGGTATGTACATAACTGCAAATTATGAAAGGTTACAGGATTGGTTCTGGGGTATTGATTAGCTGGCTATGTGGTAGTTGGGATACGACTCATGGACATGCAACCCTCAGTCATTGCCAAAGGTGGTTACAAGACAATACCAGGATCTCAATCTTTAAATTAAATAAATAACATGCGTCTGATTGGCTATTTTCTGTAAATGCCCAAACAAGTTCCCTAGTTCTTTGTGTGAGCATCTTTTCTACATACTAGTTAATCTCCTTTCAACCACACTCTTCCTAAGGGCAAACTGCCCCTCCTTGGGCTTGCCCAGGATTTGTTTAAGCATAGCCACATCACTAGGGAGCTCTGGTGGCATAGTGGGTGAGGCATATGACTGCTAACTGGAAGGTCAGGGGTTCAAACCCACCAGCTGCTCAGTGGAAGGAAGATGAGGCTATCTATTTACATAAAGATTTAAAGCCTTGGAAACCCACTAGGGGTCACTATGAGTCAAAATAGTCTCAATGGCAGTGGGTTTGGTTTTTCTGGTAATCCACATTGTGGGCTTAATGACCAGCAATCATTGGGGAACTAACATAAAGAACTCAAATGGTGTCTGAACTTATATCAAGACTCAATATGGAGTTAGGGCTCCCACTCTAAACTGTAGCCTTCCACAAACCACACTGCTCTAGAATTTAATCTCTAATGTAATAGATTGTATGTCTGTGTAGACACACACACACACACACACACATGGATAAGGCCTTTTTCCTGTGGTATAGCTTTGTGGGAAAACAGATCTTTTTTAAAAAAAAAAAAAAAATTGGTTAACTTATCCAAAGGAGAACAAAACAGCTAAACAAACAAAAAAACCTAAAATTCAGTGTGATCTTGCCACTTCAGAAGTTTCAAATACTATGCAATTTTGGACCTAAAAATAACCACACTACTTTTATATATTTATCTTTATTTTTCACTTTCTGCATAAGCAATTCAATCCCAGGGGAAGTCAAATGTCATACAGCGGTGTACAAAATCCAGTTTCCCTTCCAGAAGGTAAACACTGTTACCAGCTTTTTTCAAGCATGAATATGTTTATGTATATATTTGTATCCTTTTCTTTAAATTCCCAAATGTAGGACTCTGCACAGTGGTCTGTACCTTGTTTCTTGTCCTTAACATTATTCAGGTCTTCTCATGTTGGTATGTACTGAGCTACCATATTCTTTTCAATAGCTATATATATTATATTTCATAGAGGTCGCATCACTATTTATTGAACCTGTCCTTTACTGGTTAAATTCTGTACATTCCAATCATTGGCTATCATCAATACTACTGTACATCACTTCACACAGGTTCAAGTGTATTTCTGAGCTACTGTTATGGTTAATTTTATGTATCAACTTGGCTAGGCTATGGTACCCAGTTGTTTGGTCAAACATTAGTTAGATGCTGTGACGAAAGCAATTAACATTTAAATCAGTTGGCCTTAAGTAAAGAAGATTACCTTCCACAATGTGGGCTGCTGTTGTTATGTGCCATCAAGTCGGACCCGACTCATAGCAACCCCTCCTTGGGTTTCCAAGGCAGTATCATTACAGTAGATTGCCCCATCTTCCTTCCGAGGAGTGGCTGATGGGTTTGAACTGCTAGCTTTCTGGTTAGCAGTCAAGTGCCTTAGGCACTATGCTACCAGAGTTCCCTTATCCAATCAGAAGAAGGCCTTCAGGGCAAAAAACCGTGAAGTTTCCTGAGGAGAAGGATTCTGCCTCAAGACTGTAAGTAAACATTCTGCCAGAATTTCCATCTCAACCTACAGATTTTGGACACAAGACTGCTGGTGTTTCTAGTCTACTGCCTGATCTATGGATTTGGACTTGCCAACCCCCACAATCACATGAGCCAATTCCTTAGGCAATTAATCTCTTTTTTTTTCTCCTCTATCTCTGTGTATATGTGTATTTCCTTTTGGCTCTGTTTCTCTGGAGAACCATAAGACAGTTATATACCTAGAAGTGAAACTGCTGGATCACTGAGTCAAAGAATAACTTAGCACGTGTAACTCTGCTGTTGTTATTGTTAGGTGCCATTGAGTCGATTTTGACTCATAGTGACCCATGTGACAAAGTAGAACTGCCCATAGGGTTTTCTAGGCTGTGATCTTTATGGCAGCTCATAGTCAGGTCTTTCTTCCAAGGAGCCACTGAGTGGGTTTGAACTGCCAACACTGTGGTTAGCAGGGAAGCACTTAACTGTTGTACCACCAGGTCTCCTACTGTCAAACTTCCTTCCACAAAAGTTGTATCAGTTAAAACCTCACAAGTGTGCCTATTTTCCTGTAATCTTACCAAAACCACTACCAAACTTTTAGATTTTTTCTAAAATGTCTTCCTCTCACCACATCCAAGCAATGACTGATGTGGCTTTCTGTCACTGTGAAGACTGTAGAAATTAAATACTGTGGTACTGATACATGAATACACATAATACATTTAATGGAACAGACCAGGGAGTCCAAGTCTATCAAGTTTATATGATAGCTATAAAAATGCTTTTTGTTGTCAATTTAATTTTTATTTCTCTTATCTTGAGTGAATTTGAACATCTCATGTTTAAGAATCATTTGTATTAAATGATCTACAATTATGCATACCCATTTTCCTAATGAATTTAAGCCTTGGATTGGAAGCGAGAATGGTCAGACTTCATCTCATCTACTTTGGTCATGTTGTCAGAAGGGATCATTCCCTGAGGAGGATATCATGCCTGGTAAAGTGGAGGGTCAGCAAAAAAGGGGAAGGCCCTCAATGAGATGGATTGACTGCAATGATGGGCTCAGTCATAGCAGCAATTGTGAGGCTGGCGCAGGACCAGGCAGGGATTCGTTCTGTTGTACACAGGGTCACTATGAGTCAGAGCCAACTCGATGGCACCTAACAACAGCATAAACCCTGTTCTTACTAATCTGTAGAAAGTATTTTATGTTAAGGAAATTAACCTTGTATTTCCTATGTTAACTTCAATTTTTTTTCCATAGTCTTTCAACTTTTTATGACATATAGACAATATCAGCATTTTATTTATCAGTCTTTCATGCTTATCAATTTTTACCATAAATGGTTTCTGGGTCTAGAAACAGAAAAGCCTTCTCAAATATAAGGTGAAACACAGTACCACATAGTTTCTTCTAGTAATTTGTGATTCCATTCCCTTTATACAAACAGTCCCAGGATTACTCATTTCCAACTTACAGATAATTCCTACTTGCCCTTTAATGTTATATAAATTTGCCCTCACTCTGAAATGAATAAGGAGCTCTAGTGGGATAGTGCCTGAGGCATTTCACTGCTAACCAGAAGGTTGGCAGTACAAACCTTCCACTCCATGGAAGGAAGACTGGACAATCTACTTCCATAAAG